TTCCTTCCTTCCTTCCTTCCTTCCTTCCTTCCTTCCTTCCTTCCTTCTTTCCTTCCTTCCTTCCGTAACTCCCTCCCTCCCTCCCTCCTTCCTTCCTTCCTCCCTCCCTCCCTTTCTCTCTCTCTCTCTTTCTCTTTCTTTGTTTCTTTCTTTCTACGAAATTTCACTCTGTCACCCAGGCTGGAGTGCAGTGGCACAATCTCAGCTCACTACAACCGCTGCCTCTCGGGGTCAAACAATTCTCCTGCCTCAGCCTCCTGAATAGCTGGGATTACAAATGCCCGCCACCACACCTAGCCAATTTATGTATTTTTAATAGAAACAGAGTTTCACTTTGTTGACCAGGTTGGTCTCAAACATCTGACCTCAAGTGATCCACTCACCTCAGCCTCCCAAAGTGCTGGGATTACAGGCGTGAGCCACTGCACCCTGCCTGTCTTACCCATTTCTATAGAATTTTAACATACTATGTTCTCATTGTCATTCAGTTATAATAATTTATGATTTTTTTCTATGCTTTCTGGTGTACCTAAGACTTAAAAGAAGTATGTAAATTTCTAATTTTATTGTATTATGAACAGTGTTCAAGGCCATACATAGGGTAGCAACTTTTTTGTAGCCTATTTTGAGTTCAATTTGGAGGAATGTTTTATGTTTTTTTGAAAAGATTATACATCCTTTCTTTGAGTAAAGTGTGTGTGTGTGTGTGTGTCTGTGTGTGTCTTATTTTTATTCATTTAGTATGAGTTACTGGGTTTGTAAAGTTTATTATTTCTCTTTCATTGTATTGACTTTCTCAAAAGTTTGCCTATTTGTTATTATGTTGAGATTTTTCATCAAATAGTCTATCATAGTATGAGTTGCTAATATTGGAGAAGGGAAGAAATTTATATTTATACACACACACACACACCCAGAGATCTACATACATATAAAGTATATAGTGTATATAATATAAACATATAAAACATTGATAATATTAAATACCTAAAGTGTATATATAAATATATATTGTTTTTCAACTTTTATTTTCTTTGTGACATGGACTTACCTTGTCACCCAGGCTGGAGTACAGTGGTGTGATCATTGCTCACTACAACCTTGAACTCCTGGACTTCAGCAATCTTCCTGTCCTGTGCTCCTGAGTAGCTGGGACTACAAGTACATGCCACTACGGCTTGCTTATTTTTACATTTCTTATAGAGATAAGGGTCTCATCTCTTGCCCAGGCTGATTTGAATTCCTGGCCTCAAGTGAGTCTTCTGCGTTGGCTTCCCAAAGCACCAGGATTACAGGCATCAGCCACTGTACCTGACAGTTTTTCAAATTTCCTATTTAACTTTTTTGCTTTAATAATTGTTTAAATATACTAAATTGAAGGTTCTCAGTATGATTGTGGATTTAAATTGTTTTCTTTGTAATTCTATTAGTTTTGCTTTATATATTTCAGAGTTATGTTGTTAGGTACGTAAAGATTTATGATTAATGTAATAGATCTGATTTTAGATTATTCCTTTCAAAATTTTGAAAAACATTTTTTTCCCTCTTACAGTGCTTTTGTCTTCCTTTTTTTTCTCTCTCTCTCCTTTTAGAAGTCTTATTGAACTGATTTTGGAACATTTAAGTCTACTCATTGAATTTTTCCTTAATCCCTTCCATATTGTTATCTCTTTGTGCTACACATTCTAGAAGAATTTCACAGCCTGTTCTTACTGTTTACTAATTTACTCTTCAGTAGCATCCATTTTGCTAAGTCAGCCAAGCTGTTGCAATTTTATATTTCTCATTTTCTATATCTCTAATTTCTATTATTCATAATGCTGTTATTACACTTTTATTACACTTATGATATCACATGTATTCATGTCAAATTATTTATTTTCTTATGATATCTTTATTCATTTTGTATGAGCTATTGGGTTTGTAAAGTTTATTATTTCTCTTTCCTTGTATTGTCTTTCTCAAAAGTTTGGCTATTTGTTTTTATGTTGAGATTTTCCATCAAATAATATATTATCATATGAGTTGCTAATATTGAAGAAGGGAAGAAATTATCACCATAGCATTTAGTGAAAGCAGAGGGTGTGTAAATTATTATTTGTGTGCCAAAGCTTCAAGATCCTCCAGAACATTGTCCCATACGTCTCTTTACCTATGCTCCTATATACACTCTTCCTGGAGGTAGACACCTCTGTTCCACCCACTTCCTTTGTAGAATGTGTTATGTGTGTGTGTTTGTGTGGAGTGCATAGGACTGCTCCATCTTCTTTACTTAAAGTGGTCACTCTGCCTGTTATCCTTTGGCCTTTTCCTGCTCTTTGCTTCTACTTCTGCAAGCATGGATGAGATTGTTGAAGCTGCTATCCTACCTGGCAGTTTATATCTTCAATCTCATTGTACCTACTTCGCAATTTACAGAGATTATTCACAATTTCTTGTAACTGAGAGTTGCTTTCTTATTTTTCTACTCTGCTACTATTCTTTAAAGATTGAACAAGCATATTTGAACCTATATATTTCTCTGGCATCATGTAAGAATGTAAATGGATGTTTTCTTCTTTGCATTTTCTCTATCTTTTCTATATTTGACATTGAATATACTTTTTATTTATAATCAGGAAAAAGTGTATGCGTATTACACTCTTTAAATATAAATGTTCTTTTATGATTCCATAGTGCAAGTGGTGACCCAGGATGAAAGAGAGCAGCTGTACACTCCTGCTTCCTTAAGATGCTCTCTGCAAAATGCCCAGGAAGTCCTGATTGTGACATGGCAGAAAAAGAAAGCTGTAAGCCCAGAAAACATGGTCACCTTCAGCGAGAACCATGGGGTGGTGATCCAGCCTGCCTATAAGGACAAGATAAACATTACCCAGCTGGGACTCCAAAACTCAACCATCACCTTCTGGAATATCACCCTGGAGGATGAAGGGTGTTACATGTGTCTCTTCAATACCTTTGGTTCTGGGAAGATCTCAGGAACAGCCTGCCTCACGGTCTATGGTGAGAGTCTCTGAGAATCATTGTCTGTGTCTGGAAATACTATTTCCAAGAATGTTTGGAACATAGCCATAGTGCCCAGTTTTTCAGGATTTTAACCACAGAAAAGGTCATGAGAAGATAGCCTTTCATGTCTAGTATAGCTGTGTTTATGATTATTTGGAGAGTTCATGAGGCTACACTGAGTTCTTCGGCTGGAGCTATCTTTTCTCTGAGGGATCCTGCTGTCAAAGGAGAAATTTGGGAACAATGGTGAGGGTAACAAGTTCTCCATAAGCAGTGATATGATTCAGACTTAGCTTGCCACTAGCAATCATGTGACCCTAGAAGGGTCCAATCCACTCTCCTCTGGAGTTTCATTGTCCAGACAGTAAGTGTGAAATAGATCATTTCTAGGGTAACTTACAACTTCAACTTTTTGGATCTAAGGACAGAGACAGATTGGACTAGCCTTGAGGCAGTTATGATTGTCTTTCTCATTTTGCTTGGGAGGATAGCTCTTTCAGGATTGATAAGGGTACATGGAGCAGAGTCTTTTCATACCTAAAATGATGCCAACTAAAGATATAACTTGGCAATAGCATTCTTTTAAAATCCAAGAGGCTTAGTTTGATGAGATTCCTTTCTTCTTAACTTATACATAGCTGAGGTGAAAGATTAGGAAGTGGGAATAAGAGATTACTTTGGAGCATGGCACACATGGCAGTAGTTTTAGGGAGTAGAGGACAAACTTACGGTTATTAGGAATATTAAAGTGAGAGTTTAATCATGCCAAGAATATTGTCTGCAGGGAAGAAAAAGCTTAGTAGATGAGAATGCAAGGGAGACAGGAATGCTAAAAGAAATCTCTTTTACTTATTTTGCCTATAATGAGTCCTCTCTGTAGAATCTTATGTCATTGCTTTCTTGATTTCCACTTCTTTCATTCTCTCTTTTTCTGTTTCTCCTCCCTGTCTCCTTCCTTCCTTTCCTCCCTCTCTGCCTTCCTTTCTTCTTTCCTTCCTCCTATCTAATTTTTCTTCTTTTTTTTCTTATGTCATATTTTTATCATTCTGTTCCCTTTTCTTCTCTTCCTTTTTTCCTCTCATCTTTCTTTCTCTTAGTCTCTTTCCTTCACTCATAGACTTTTGTATTTTTTTTTCCTGAAAACCAGATGCCTCTGAGCTTTAAAGCTAGTAATTCTGTTCTCTTCCACACAGACCTTTTCCAGCCACACCTTATACCTTTCATGTAAGCTATTCTTTGATACACCATAGGACCTCAAAACTCAATCTGGCCCATCAGCCATATTCATATTTTTTCACTTTTATTTCCCTTCCTCCAGTGCTCACAGACATTAGTGATCTCAGCCAGAGCCACGGTTCCACAGCCCTACTTCCCCCAACCCACTGTCATCTCCCTGCCTCTTGAACCTATAAGCACAGCCCAGGCTTTCAGTTAGCACTGCCATTTAATTATCTTCTGGGCTCCAAAGCCAACCACAGAAAGACAAGTTTACATTTGCTTAGAAAAGAAAAATTCTATATTCTAACAAAAATGAACTCTCTGGTCAGGGGATTTTCAAAAGAGTACAGGCTACAGCTGGCCTGAAAACAATTTTCTCATGAGCTAGTTATTTTTTCTTAACTTAATCAGGTGATTTCCAATGCTCTTCCAACAGTCATTTCTAAATTTTCATGGTTCTTAGCTATGAATTCCAAATTCGCATTTTGCGTAGCTCTTCCAAAAAGGGATTTTCCAGCTCTCCTCCATGCATCTAATTCACTGGTCCAGCTCCAAGAAGAAAATGGCTATCTCTAAGCAGTAGCCTTTCTATGGGCTCTCTGTTCCGAAACTGCCCTAGTGCCTCTAATAGGTACAGGACACATGTATGGCGGTGCTGATTGGTGGCTATTGTTAAGCCACTTAAGAGGAATACCTAAAAGAAGGCAGAGATGCTGCATTGCCCCTGGAAGAGAACAGAATAATTAGGACTGTTTGGGAGAGAAGAGTTTCATCTGACTTCTCAATACTCTATGTCCATCTGACTAATTCTGCTACAGAAAAATTATAGAAAGGGTCTTTCTCATCACAGGTTTGTACTAGGCCAGTCTCCATCCTGCAGATCAGAAAATTAGACACAAGAGGAACTGGAAAGTCCCCAGTTTGGGTAGGATATGCCACACTATCTTTCCAGCCTCCATTATCTTTCTATAAGCATATTTCCCTCATCTCTCTGAGGAGACTACAGTGCTCAGACCAGGTGCTTAACTAATAACAGATTGTATTTATTTTTTGTCCCAGTACAGCCCATAGTATCCCTTCACTACAAATACTCTGAAGACCACCTAAACATCACTTGCTCTGCCACTGCCCGCCCAGCCCCCGTGATCTTCTGGAAGGTCCCTCGGTCAGGGTTTGAAAATAGTACAGTGACCCAGTCTCACCCAAATGGGACCACGTCTGTTACCAGCATCCTCCAGGTCAAAGACCCTAAGAATCAGGTGGGGAAGGAGGTGATCTGCCAGGTGCTGCACCTGGGGACTGTGACTGACTTTAAGCAAACCTTCAACAAAGGTAAGAGAAAGTGAGCAAGGTGACTGTGGTTATGTCTGTGTGCACACACCTGGAAGGCAGTGAATGTCCTGCAGAGGTTTCAGCCTCTTAGCACAAGAGCTATTTGGAGAAAGAATGGGGCAAATAAGGAAAAAAGAAAAACAGTTGAGGAAACAAAGCAAGTTTTGCTTTCATAAATGTGGTTCATTGCCCACATACCAAATACTGTTGCTGAGATCCATTCATTTATTTATTTCTTCCATTCTACTAACATGTAATTAAGTCTGTTCTGGGCCAGACTTTGTGTTGAACATGAAAAATGCAATGATGAATAAGACTCAGTCCCTAAGCTTCTAGTCTATGAGGGAATAGAGATAAATGGATGGGCAATTGTAAAACTGTGCATTACATTCTCCAGTGAGAAAGCTGTGAGGCACCATGGGAGGACTAGAGGTTGGGAAGGAGGGGCTTAATCTGGGGGAGATTTGGAAGGTTTCCTGGAAGAAGTGACATCTATGATGAAATCACTGTATAATCTACACTGTGAAAAAGGGACCTCTCTGAAGTGCTTTCATCACCCATTTAGCAAACTACCTCCTACCGAGTCCCCTTTTGCTTTCTTGTGTTTTTGTCTAAACTACTGTCTCTGGGCCTCATAGATACAAGAGGTGAGAATGATAGAGGAGAGAATAAAGGGAGCAGAGATTATAAAGACAAAAAGTTTTAGCAATTGTAGCCATGTCTTTTCTCTGTGTAGTTTTGAAACACTGACTCGGGATGAAGCCATCAGTAATAAGCCTCCTAGAAAATATTACTCCTCTTTTTTGGAGAAATTATGAGCAATAAACTGGAAAAGCTTTCTACACCCACCTCTTTAGTGCAGTGGCCTTTAGAGTCCCTGAAAACTCAGACTAATCAGAAATTGGATATTTAGGTAAATTTGGTCAAAAAGACTTGCAGTGTTGGATTTGGATATTTGTGAAGAGATCTTCAGATGCAGCCATGGCCAAGAGTATATTTCCCAGAGAAACAAGAACCTAAAAAAGAATGTCTTTTTTTTTTTTTCCCAAGAATGCCAGATTTGACTTGTATCACTTACAGTTATTATATACCGCTTCTATAATGTTTGTTTATTCTGTGAACGTTGACGAAAAATCTTCCATGCTCAAAGCGTTATGTCAAGCACTGAAACTATAGAAATCAGACAAATCCCTGTCTGAGGTCTGAAGTGTTCAGTTAAATAATGATGTGATGAATCCCATTATGGAGGTGTGGAGAAGATGCTAGAGACTCCCAAATCAAGGAGTTCCTCATTTGCCTTTGCATTGCAACATGACACTGAGAAACTGATATTTAGGCTGAGTTGCATTAAAGACATAGATAAGAAGAAATTTAATAAAAACTTAGAGATGAGTTATCTCTGGGGGTTGAAATCATACGATTCATGCTTTTTTCTTTATACTTCTCTGTATTTTCCACAATTTCCTCAATAAACATATATTCTTTTAAGAGACAGTATGGCAAAGAATATGTGCTTTAGAGGCAAACAGACTTTCAACCAAGCCTTGGCTATCCCATTTGTTATTCTGATTTTGGTCTCAGTTAAAGTCTCAAAGCCTCAGTTTTCTTTAAATCTATTAGAAAATAGTAACTCTTGGGATGTTCTGAGGATTAAATACGTTTAAAGCTCTTATTACATAGTAGCCAGATAAAACATGTTAGCTATTACTAATATCTAAATATTATTAAAATAATATGAAGTCATGCATATAAACCTACACATGTATGTATTTAAGGATAATTTTAACTAAAAGCTCGACTCTATTGCTTTATCACTTTTGTCTGAACAATTTCCTCTGTGACATCATTTTCCTTTTTCTTTCTTCAATATCTGTAGGCTATTGGTTTTCAGTTCCACTATTGTTAAGCATTGTTTCCCTGGTAATTCTCCTGGTCCTAATCTCAATCTTACTGTACTGGAAACGTCACCGGAATCAGGACCGAGGTGAGTCGTCATAGGGAGTTCAAAAAATGGCATAAATTAAATTTTATTTTTAATGACATTTAGTGAGTCATTTGAAGTTATAAATAAGGGAATGGCAACAATGTATTTTGTTTGTTGTTTCCAAAATACAGAAATGTTGATACTGTTTTAAAATGCGTCAGGGCATTTTCTTGCAATTGGACATTAAATTGGACATTTCTGCTTTTTGTTTGCTAAGATAACTTAAAAGCTAATTAAATCAAACAATGGTGATAAAATCAAAGAATGAAGTCTGGCACCCACGCAAGGCCCTTTCCACTCATTAATGAGAAGGACAATCTCTTCTCTTTTTATAGCACTTCACAGGCCATCTGCCCATTTAAGAGACTGAAATTGTACAATTATGGTCATTCATTAAGTAGCACTTTCTGTGTTATACTCCCACGATGCCTCAAACACTATCAGCATCATGCAAGTGATCCATGCTTACAGTAACTGTGTCGTGTCGTTCTGCCCTTCTAGACTATAAATTTCTCTTTATCTTTCACAACTACCACAGCATCTTGTATATACCAGGGGCTGAATAAATGTTAATTTACTGAATGAACTGACTGACGACAGAGAGAATATTTAAGGTGATTTTTTTTCAATTCCTTTTCTTCTATTGTAAATTCAGTACCTCATAAATGTCAGTCTAAGATATTGTGAGAAATTATAAAACAAGAGACACTATAAAGCAAGAGGAGTGAGCTAGAGACGAAGAATGAAATGTCTTTGGTTTCTGAAGACAGTGCATAATTTATTGAAGTGAATACAAAGCTGCAGTTTATGTTTTGTGTAATGGGAATTTGCTAGGGTGAAAGGGTAATATGGGAGTTCCCTCCATTTCAGATGGCTGAAGGATAGGGGTCAGGAAAGAAAAAGAGTCGGCTTTGTTTGCTATTTTAGACTTTGATTAAAACTCTCATTTTTTTCCTTTCATTTTATGCTTTATAGAAATGTTTCCTTTAGTTTTATGTTTATATTTTTATGTTTTTGCTCATGTTTCAAGTGTTGACCACTTTATTTTGCATAATCCTCCAGATTAATTCTTGTAATTTATAAAGCACACAAAAAGCCTTTAGTGTCAGTGGCCCCTTTGCAAAAGTAGGTAAAGGTATTTGTTCTTTCCAGGAGAGAAGATCACAAATCAGTTAATCTTATTGCACATAATTATTAGCCCAAGGAACTCGTAAATGCTCCACAGAAAAAACATCAAAGACAGAAGTCTGTTTGATTCTACTTTATCCGGATATTTTTCTTTTCCAATTAGGAAACTGAAGCTCAGAGAGGAAAGCTGACTTCCTTCCATAAGTTCCTACAGTTTTTTAAGAGCAGACTAGGACTAAACCCTGGTGCCCTGACCTTTGCCAAATGTTCTTCCTGTCATTACTGATGCCCCAGTGTCTTGACTTGAAAGGCATTCACTTAATCTGTGCTTACTGTCAATACCCTTTTCTTTTGGAAAGTGCAAGCAGAAAAGTATGAAGTATTTAAATTCATTTTTAAAAGTCCCTCTTGGGCAAAAGTCTTATAATGCAGTCTTCTCAAGCCCGAGGTAAATTCTACTGGAAAGAGACATGTAAAATTATTACCCTTGTTCATTAAGCATGTCTTGGATTTTCTGGGAAATAGAGTCATTCAATGCCAATATCCGATTCTTGAAGCAAAAAGAGTCAGCTTATTTCTCTGCCCAAGTTTTTTCTCACTTATGAAATAAATACCTGAGCTTATGTGGAGTCCTGTACGCATCAGGATTGCCATTGACTGATGATGTCTTCATGACAGATGGCCAATTGAGTTAATTCCTCTGAATGTTCAGTGGCATATTTTCAATGACTGGATTTTTGACTCATTTCTTTTCCATTTATATTGCTTATAAAAGATACCTAAGGCTGGGTAATTCATAAAGAAAAGAGGTTTATTTGGCTTCTGAAGGCTATACAAGCACAGTGCCAACATCTGCTTCTGGTGAAGGCCTCAAGCTGCCTCCACTCATAGCAGAAGGCAAAGGGGAGCCACTGTGTGCAGAGATCAGATGGCGAGACGGGAAAACAAAAGAGGGTGCTGCCAGGCTGCTTTACCAGCTCTCATGGAAACTAACAGAGAGAGAACGCACTCGCACCAAGGGCATTAATCAATTCCCGATGGATCTTCCCCCTTAAACACCTCCCATTAAGCCCTACCTCTAACACTGGGGATCAGATTTCAACATGAGGTTTGCAGGGTCAAGTATGCAAACTATAACAATTGATTTAGAAAAGTTTAACAGCCAGATAATTTGGCTTCATATACTTCAACAGCTAGTAAAACCAAGTGTCGATTTTGCTGAAGCTTAAGTGCTCAGGGCTAAGCAAATACTGGTTCATTTAGACCAAACTTCAAGTTATACAAAAAGCTGGGACAAAGAAAAGAGAAAGAAGAGAAAATCATAGAAGACAGTGACACTTTTTATTTCTACAATTAACAAATTCTGGTTGATATTTTGTGAGGAAGGGGAATAGTCCTACACATTTGCCTTCCATTTGTTTTCATTCTTACTTTTCTTTTCTTTCTCTTTTTCTTTCCATCATCTTCTGAAAACATAACATTTCTGAATGGGCAAGAAAGCATGATTGGTCCAAAATAATACAAAGGTTTTGAACTTGGTGACCTCAAAAATGGTGATGTGAACAGAAAAGGAAAGGGAAGAGGTGGAACTGAGAGAGAGAGAGAGAGAGAGAGAGAGAGAGTGTGTGTGTGTGTGTGTGTGTTTAGAGTTTGTAAAAAAGCAAAGGAGACAAATGAATTAGTTCTTGAATGTGAGCAGACAAATAATTATCTTCATGTAGCTGTCTAGTAGCCAATAATAAAAATCTGGTAAGTAAGGTAAGTCTGTTAAGTAAGGTCAATTCTGTGTTGGGTAAATGACCAAAAGAAAAGTTTATTTTAGGTGATAATCACTACTCATTGCTCACAAATGTGTAAGCAAACTTATAGTTACTGATGTTATTTTTACATAGAAGTTAGACTACCATTACTTTTCTTGTGATCCTGTATAATGCCAGAGAGCATGATGTTGGTTTTTTCCAACTGTAAAGCAGCACAGGCCATTTCTCTGCACCATTCCTGATAGAATTATCACAGTTACTTCCCAGGAGACTACCACAGTAAGACTAATAAGATTTCAAAGAATATTCTTTTGTCTTTCATGAATCCAGTACTTTAAAACAGTGAGAAAAAATTAAAATTTCCTAGGGAAATTTTCCACTGTCTCGAAATAGTTCTTTCTACTAAAACCCAGTGATTTCATAAAGTTGTCCCTTTCACATATATGACAATGTAGTTAAATTTGGGGTTGAGAATAATCTTTTATTTCTCATTAGTCAACCCACCAAAAATTACGTGCTTCTCAGAAACAAACAATAAAAAAAACTTCACTTTGGGGCAGATCATCATAGACAATCACCCAGTTTTTAGGCAGCTTTATTTTGTTTGGTTTGGTTTGCTTTGCTTTGGTTTGTTTGAGTCAAGGCTGCTTTGGAGAACAATAGAAAATTTAGACAATCATGTAAAATTTATATGCCAAACTTTACTTTTTTTTAAGTACTAGCTAATCCATGTAGAAGTATATTTTTCTTCTCCATGAGCTGTATATTTATCTTGATTTGCTTCTCTTCACAATAACCTAACCTATGGATGGGTTCTAGTAACAATGGCAAAGTTAATAAAACGTTATTTCCCGGGTAACAGATGTCACTTTCTCCCATTTTAAGCTTAATACTTAATACAAACAACAAAGATGTTCAATAAACAGTTTGTGATGGTGTAATTGGTCATTAGTTGAAAGGGGAAAGCAAAGAATATCTATTCCCCCCTCCTGAAATAACAACCTTTGCTTTGCTCAGAAAGCACTTTTGCTTCATATACAAAGGCTGTATGAATGGGTAGCCCTCTGTCCGGGCTGTATGAAATAAGAATCTTCGCTTTGCTCAAAAAGTACTGGATGAATGGCACTACCCACCCCCACCCCAGTATCCTCATAGTTCCAGGAGGAAGGAATGTGATGCTTTACATGAGAAAAGCAATAGAGAATCTTGAATTCCAAGGCTATTTTTCTGCAAAAATTTTACAAATTTTGCACGATTTACCTATCATGCCAAGATGACATACATAATCTTGTCACAAAACCCTTAGCAAACAGATTCTTAATGCCTGGACATTCTTGCCTGGAGCTGTTCTTTGCTGTTCTTTCTAACACCTAAACCCACATGGGCGTAGGTGACTCAAATTTTAAGTTTCCGTCTATATGTGGGGAACATCTCTAGGAATCGAGACATCTCAGTCTCCTGCCCAATAATTAAGTGTGTGTTCAGTCCTCAAATGACATACTCATTCCCTTGGCTTTTTGGCCATGGGGCTGCTTTAAGGAGATTAGCTGTCAGTACCTGTTAGATTAATTAATGAAAAACAGAAAGAATGAGAAAATCCCCCAGCTGAAAAATCTTCTAACATCTCTGCTCCTTTTGCATTTTAGCTTGCATATATCCTTTACCTAGTGTTCATTACCAGCTTGTTTTCTTTGGAATCGTCATGCATTTCAGTAGTATGGTCACACCCATGTACTAAGCTTGCCTCTAAACAGATCCAAGACCCTAGCCTCTACTAACAAAAGAAACCAACTGTATGCTATTTAAACTGGAAAAGACTGGGCCACTTAATGAAAGTACTCAACATGGCTTACAGAGGGGGAAACATCATAAATGCTGTATTAATTTTCTATTGCTCCTTTACCAAATTATTACAAACTTAGTGGCTTAAAACAACACACATGTATTATACTGCAGTTCTGAGGTCAGAAGTCCAACATGGGTCTCATTGGGTTTAAAACAAGGTGTCTGCAGGGAGACATTCCTTTCTGGAGGCTCTAGCGGAGAATCCTTTTTTTCCCTCTCTCTCTTTTCCTGCTTTTAGAGATTGCCCACGTCCCTTGCCTTGCATCTTCAAAGCCAACAAGGTCCAGTTGAGTCTTTTTCACATTGAATCACTCTAAATCTGTTACGTTTGTCTCCTGTTTCTCTTATAAGGATCCTTGTGATTACATTGGGTCCTACTGCATAATCCATCTCAGGGTCCTTAATTTAATCACATCAGCAAAATTCCTTTTGCCATGTAAAGTAACATATTCACAGATTCCTGGAATTAGAATATGGATGTCTTTGGGGTGCCATTATTATGCCTACCACAAATGCTAAGAGGGTGTGGGAGTGAGTTGCTTAGAGGGACAGCTGTTTGCTGACCTCCCAGTGGAAGCATTCTCTCTTTGTAATTCCATAGCCTTTGCTCTGCTCTTGGCAACTCTCTATCAAAGAACTTCAAAACCTGGTCAGAACCTCTGACCAGGCAAGGCTTTATTTTCCAAGATTATATTTTGTCTCTCAAATCTGTAACGCAAAAGCATCACTTCTGCTTTCCCTTGTTAATTTCCCTTGTTAGTTATCACTAACTGTAATATTACAAAATCTATCACTAACTGTAATATCACAAAGACTTTTTTTCCTTAGAATCTCAGTTCTTGCATATTTCCTGCTTCTCCCTGTTTCCACCTTTTCATAGA